TCTCCTCTAATAAAAATAGTCTTGTCACCACGCGCCGGAGTTGTATATAGTGTGCTAGACACGGTACATGCAATGGACGGCGCACACTTTCAAGTTATTGGAAGCCTTTCTTATACCAACTCGCATTCGTTGTACAGGTGCTGCGTCGGCGAGTACCTAAGTCCATATATAGACGAAAGATCTTGGTTACGGTGTATTTTTTTTGTTCTTTTCTTTCTTTGCTTCGTCGGGAAGCGAAGGACGCGGGAGAACAGTTCGAGGTCTTCGTGAAGCCTCTGGTCTGTTCTGACATGCAGCCATCTGTCCTACGTGTTCGCGACCTTGCCATGCTGTCGTCGAGTGACTGTACATTTTCATGTTGAGCCGGTCCCTCGAGCAGTTTCATATGATCAAAAAGTAACACTCAGCTAATTAAGTTAAGTAAAGTAATTGGGTTCACAACCTTGCTAGCCAGACACCATAACCGCTAGACAGCTGGGACAAGTACCTCTTTAAAGGTGCAATAGACGGTAAATAACTTGTATTTGTTTGTGAACCCGGTGTGAAAAAAAAAAACTCGTTTTCCCAAACTACCGGGTGTTCAAAATTAAGCTTTATGATTTTTTTAAAATTAGGCGCTCGAAGGCACGTGAGAACCACTTGTGCAAATAAGTTAAGCGGCCAGGGGGACAGAAAGTTAGATGATAATTATCGCTGTCAGCAGCCCAATTAACTAAAATTTAATAATTAACTTTTTACTGGCTGCGGTAAGTTGGCATGTTTATATTGAAAAAATGTAGGCAGTGGTGTTTGTACACAGTTTCAGTTGGAAGATTTTTTCTAGCACGCCTGTGTTCCGAGATATCCGGCTCCAAAGTTTAATTGTCTTTCGCACGATTACGCATGCAAGAGGGTGAGGGTCCGCGCAAAGCTCCTCCCTAAAGTGACGCATCTGTTGCGTGTGGTGTTTAGTGTGTGAAGAGGGTGGAAGCGTAGGCATAGGTGATAGCAATTACCCTTGCCCTCTTCGGCCGTCGAAATCAAAAATCGAAGAACGCTTGCAACCAGTGTCGTAACACGCAACTGCAGAGCCTCTAACGATAGTGGCAGATACCATGCCGAGATAATGGTGCGAGCGGAGAATCTGGATGCCAGTGCGCGTGCGTAATAATCACTAGAGAAGCATGCGTGGTCGTTGCCTGGGCTACGCGAATAGCGTGACTGCTGATGTCCGAGTACTGTAACTTTTATTGAAACAAGAGCAACAACTCCACCAATAATAACTGAAACAGTTTTATCCTTGCTAACGCATATTTCCTGCTGCTACATAAGCATATTTCGGTCATGCACAAATCTCATCGAAACTCTTCACCTCTCAAGACGTCAATGCCCCAAAAAGTGTTCAAAATGCCTGCCTTCGGCAGCAACGCAAAGCATGAACCGCTGTCGCGTCGACTCGATGACTCGGCGCAGTACTTCTGCAGGAATACTCGCACAGGCAGATGTTATCCTGTCCTTCATGTCATTAACATCGCTGGGCTCTGTTACGTAAACTCGATCTTTAACGTAGCCCCAAAGGAAAAAGTCGAGCGGAGAAAGGTCAGGTGATCTTGGTGGCCAAAACATCGCTCCTGCGCGCCCAATCCACTGTTGTGGAAAACGTCTGTCCAACCAGTTCTTCGCCCTGGTAGAAAAATGTGGTGGTGCTCCATCGTGCTGAAACCATACTTGGCGCAGGTCATTCAGGGAAAGACTGCAGACAAGATCATCAATGACAACACCTAATATTTCTTCTGTGTACATCTTTCCGTTCAAGTTGTCCTCAAAAAAGTGAGGTCCGATGATCCTGTCCCCGAGTATGCCGCACCACACATTCACACTCCAGCGAACTTGATGCTTGTGCTGCCTCAGCCAGTGTGGGTTTTCTTGTGCCCAATAATGGGCGTTGTGAAGATTAACACTTCCATTTCGGCAAAACCGAGCTTCATCAGTCCAAATTATTCTGTGCAAAAAGTCATTTTCTTGATCAGTTTTGATGAGGCCCCAATTGCAGAAGTCAACTCGCCTTTCAAAGTCCGCCTCATTTAGGTCCTGATGAAGGTAAACGTGATATGGATGGAACTTGTGCTTTCTTAAAACATTTGTGACTGTTCCGATGCTGCGACCGCACTGATCGGCAATCTGTCGGATGCTGAGCTCTGGCATCGAGGTTACGCACGCGACAACGTCGATTTCAAAGTCTTCATCGACGATTGCCTTCCTGGTCCGTCTCGGAAGGTGGACAGAGCCTGTTGTGCAGAAGCGTCGAAACAGGTTTGTGAAAGTGGGCCTTGTTGGAAGGGGACGGTGTGGGTGGCGAGACGCGTAAAGCTCCATTGCTAACGAAGCGTTGCCATTCATTTCAGCCATTGCAAGCACCACGTCTACTTTTACTTTGGTAGAATACCTCACGCCAGAAGCAGCCATATTAGCTCGAAAGGACTCCACGTGGATTTCCTTGGTAGACCTTCAATGCAGAGACGCTGTGCTCTAACCGGAGGCACCCTAGTGCAGGACGGTCCTGCTAACGCGTTCACAAGAAGATGTCTCAGTGTGATCTAAAGTCACGAAAAAACGTCGCGAAAAATGGTCTCCTGTTATCGCGTTCATCAGGATCATGCGTAAGGCTCATGGCGCACCGCGCTGTCACATTTTGATTTCGCCGGCCGAAGAGGGCAAGGGTAATTGCTATCACCTATGCCTACGCTTCCACCCTCTTCACACACTAAACACCACACGCAACAGATGCGTCACTTTAGGGAGGAGCTTTGCGCGGACCCTCACCCTCTTGCATGCGTAATCGTGCGAAAGACAATTAAACTTTGGAGCCGGATATCTCGGAACACAGGCGTGCTAGAAAAAATCTTCCAACTGAAACTGTGTACAAACACCACTGCCTACATTTTTTCAATATAAACATGCCAACTTACCGCAGCCAGTAAAAAGTTAATTATTAAATTTTAGTTAATTGGGCTGCTGACAGCGATAATTATCATCTAACTTTCTGTCCCCCTGGCCGCTTAACTTATTTGCACAAGTGGTTCTCACGTGCCTTCGAGCGCCTAATTTTAAAAAAATCATAAAGCTTAATTTTGAACACCCGGTATAGCTTTATTATGAATTTAAACGGGAAAAATCGCCTTTCTAATTCCCATCAATGTATTGATATAAATACGTTTGTCAGCTGAAATAACTTGAGAATAGAGCGGATTGAGTTTTCTATTTTCAACACTTGTAATGATATTCATTGATAATTAGTGGTACTTGTAGTTTTTTTTCAATAATGTTCAAAAGCTTGTGTACGACATACATTGTTCTGTTGCGCTACTCGCTTCTTCACAAGGAATGTGACCCAGCGGCTGTTCTTCTACTAATCGAATTGTAAGTTTGAAGATACCGATCAACCAAGCATCGGAATTCACTTCTGTATGTCTCTACATAGATCGGCTCCTTAACTCATTTCTAGAAATGGTGATTCATAAAGAAGTATGTGATGGAGACCTTCATAGGACACTTAAGCTCGACAGTGGCCTGCGCAGCCCTCGTTGATGGGTCACTTTATGTGTATTATAGCCCTATAATCAACAATATACCTTGCTACATTCTGATAAATGATTTCACCCGTGGCAGGGCCAGTAGAGGCCGTTACAATGGGGTACACAAAGCCTTCTATGGTCTTGAGTTTCGCCACTCAGAATGCGGTGAACGTAGGTCAGCCTCTCTTCCTGTTTGTTCAGCGTTTCATCCCTAATTCATTCGAAACAGCGCGCTTGTAGACATGCCACGCAAAGCTGCTTCGCGTCGATTTGATTCCTATTTAATTTAGATTGAATGTCGCAACTGCGTTTGTCGCGGCACCGAGTTCGACAAGCAAAGGGAAATTCTGCGTGAAGTCTCAAGATTTTTATGTTGATTAACAAGAAAGTGTAAGTGGCCGCTTTACAAGTGATTCCATCACGTAAAAATATACAAACATTTCCACGTCATTTTGATAGCTTCGCCATCAAGATTCTCATGCGCCTAGCTTTTTTGCTTTGCTGAGGACAAAACTAAACATCCTAAAGAATTTAGGGCACGCCTACTGTGCAGGAACGTACAAACAAAACAACCTCAATGAATCCAAAGGCAGCGTAAACAATTCCAAAGCTTCATAACGTTTCAAAGAGTGATAAGCACGCAGCAGTGCGCAGTCAGCGCTGCCCGTATGTGCATCTTTATCGTTCGTGTCGTTCTCTCGGATGGTCAACTTGTCAAAGGATGAGTCGAGACCAACCGTAAGCCCGACTTTCAGTTTCACTTCTCTATTGTCAGATGAGTAACAGACTCCAAAGTCGCGTGCGTTATTCCACGATAACAGCAACTTCACTCTAACAAAAATCGAGTATTTGGGGAGTAGTTCTGCCACGCAGTAAAAATAGTCACCTACCTCGCGTAATTTCCTCGCGTTATCAAAGTACGGTGCCACCACTTAGCGGTGACGAACGGCGCGCGTGCTATAAGCGTGACATAGCCGAATTTCTTAAGAATAAAGTGGCGAGAGGCGGGTTTTCAAGAAAGGAAACGCGACGAGAGAGGGATGAAGATTGCATTTGTGTGGCGGAATTGCTGTCAAATACTTTCTTTTTTGAGTGGAGAGATAGAGCGTGCACATTTCGGAGCCCGAACAGAGGTTACACCACGCACCAAACGATCAGATGCTATTAGACGCGCAGTGACTGCTATCACATGCCCGCCGGTCGCGTACGGCGCCCTGCAAAGAAATGCAATGACAAGGCACTTGCTGCTCGCCTGTTGAAACTGGCCGATCCATCGCAGTACTTCATGTACGACACGATGTGCGAGCGCGATGACGATGCATTGTGATATAGCATACAGATTTGGTATGGTAAGCGCTAGCGAGCGAAAAGGAGGAAGCCAAGATGCGGCTGCAACTAGCACGAGCAGCAGGCGTTTTAAAGGGAGAAGAGAGAGAGCCAAAAAACCTGTGTTCGGGTGGCGTGAATGTGATCTCCTCGTGCGGCGGTCGCTTGCCGTCGGTGGGCGATGCCATGGTGGTAAGCGGTGGTGTGTTCGGCGCGCGCTACGGGACACCGCTGCAGGGCCCGGGCCGCGGTCCGCTGCTGCTGCTTCGCATGCCGCCGCCGCTGGTCGTCGCCGATGCTGCACTGGCGGACGGGCGCCGCTCCGCTGCGGAGTGCCGGGATCGGAACGCGCCGCGGTTGGAACCAGCGCCCGCGCGCCTTACGATGCTCGCCGACGCCGTGAGCGCCATCTGCCGCGCTTCTCGGAGGGCGCGCGCCCGCGGCCCCTAAGGCGTTGCGGGCAAAAAGAAGAAGAAAAAAAAAATGGACGACACGCAACGTTTGAAGGGCCTTTATACAACCCCTGAGTATATATGCGAAGAATAAGCGCGTTATCATGTACCGGCATTTCCCGTTTTTGGGGGGCGCTACTCGCGACGTCAGTAATCGGTTCCCGTGACGTCTAGAGGAGATAAGGTCATTACGCGAGAGATATATATCCCTCGCATGAGGACCAATGTCGGCCGGTCCTAAAGACATCAATAGCGATACACATCAGCATTGTAGTGAGTTGCCTCGTACCATTTTTTTCCATGCAGTCCCAGGCCAGTTCCGTCTTGCCTATCGGGCGCGATTAACAGATTTCACGTCATTTCGTGCGTTTTCAAGTCAGCTAGCGGAGATAGCGGCGTGTAGCCGCAAAGCACGAAATCCTGATAAACTGAATGTGTCATGCTAACACTGCCACGTGTTCTACGAGGAACTGAGTGACCCGGAGGAGGTAGCGTTCGTTTGTAGGAAGTGTAGTGAATGCGAGTGTATATAGGTCGGCAAATTGACTCATGAGTTGGCCCGCTCGGAATAACTCAAACTGAAATCAAGCCGTGAGTCTTTCAGTGAGCCCGGGTGAGTAAAATTTTGGTGAGTCTGAGCCCGAGTGATTCCAAAGCTCAAAAAATAGTTCTTAAGTCTGAGTGGGAGAGATAAAGATGCAAGAAAAGGCAGCGGAAGATGGAAAAAAGTTTAAGCGGACAGACAGGGAGATTAACCAGTTCTTAGACCGGCTGGCTACCCTGTGCTGGGGAAAGGGGTGAGGGGAATGAAAGATGTTAAAAAAGAAATGTTGCGAAGAGAGAAAGAAATTACAAAAAATTACAAAAAAATTACAAAGAAGGGCAGCGAGTTTCAATAATAATCCGAGGGTGAACTACGCAGAGGGTGCCTTGACCTTGCCGCCGCCTACTATTCCAGGGAAGTTCTTGATGGAGAGAGGGGGAGAATATAATGAGCAAAATGCAGGGAGGTTCACCAGAAATTGGGGCATCCGGTTTGCTATTCTGCACCAAGAGAAAAGGGAGTGGGGAAGAAAGATGAGAATATATCTCCCGTTGTCATCTTTTCTGAAGGAAAATATTCTTAGTGGTTTGAAACCACTCATGGCTCGTACTTGGAGGTACTACATCAAAATTCACCTAGAAGGGCACCTATTATGCCAGATATTGAAGTTAAAGAACGAGGAAACTATGGTCTGAAAAGCTAATTCTAGGCTAACGCACTCATGACTCGACTCACTCTGGCTGACTGAAATTAAGCTATTAGTCTCACAAGGTGAGTCCGGGTGAGTAATATTTTGGTCAGCTTGAGTCCGAGTGAGCCCAGCTGAAAATTTTCCTGAATGTTAGTGAGTCCGGTTCAGGAAAATTTTGGCGAGTCTCATTGCGAATAAGCCTTAAACACAATAGATATTTCAATCTGGTTGAGCTCTACAATTTTAGCCGGTTTACGAAGACGGGAAAGAAATTAGTAATAAATGTCGGGGTTCAACGTCTCAAAACCACGATATCACTATGAGAGACGCTGTCGTGGCGCAAGAAATTTCGAACACCTGAGGTTCGAACGCTCACCAAAATTCAAGCACACCAGCCTCGGGCATTTCAGCCTCCTTCGAGCTGACGAGGACGGGATTCGATCCCACGACCTGCATGTCAGCTGTCGAGCACTTTAAGTTCCAAACTTTCCAACACTGATGTGTTGGCGAAAAAGGAATCATTCTCTCTAATGTTCCGCATGTTGCGATTTGGGCGATGCGATGGTGTTAGGCAATGCGGATATCGTAAAGAGCAGGTTACTACAGTGACCTTCATAACACGTAGCTGGCCTTATAAACGTGGATTATGGGCGATTAAAACGCCGTGGAAGTAGCAACAAATAAAAAAAGAACCCTGTATAAAAATCTGTATAGAACGGCTGTATAAAAAAATCAAATTGAGGACATACTATCTCGAAAAAAGAAGTCACGGACACTAACATCTCATCCCTCCGTTTCTACTCCTCCTCATCACTATTATGATCAATAAATCAATCAATCAATTAATTATTTATTCAGCTGTTTTCTTCCTTCGCAATAAATTGTACATGATAAAGATATACAGAAGGATGCCCCGTTACACAAACTGGATCGAGACTATCTTCCGCATAAACATTTGATCGGCAACAACAGTAGGAAATAATACTGTGTTAAATTTATCAATAATATATAGGCAAATGACGTTGTCAACAACCGGGTATCAGCGGTAATCAAAGCTAAATACACAGGTAACATTTAAACAGAGAGAAAAAAATAAAGAAAAACTCAGCAACAGCTTGGAGAAAGAATGAGAAGCTCAGGGAAAAAACAGTTACACAGAAGAGCGAAGAATTTTTTTTTCAGTTCATGCAACATTTTAGGGCCGAAGATCTTAAAGGTCGAGGGTTGTCCGTTGTCCCGTCACAGCCAGCCGCTAGTACTCGAGCGCCCACTAGATGGATCTGCGGCGCTCGCTCCACTCGCACGCACCGCGACGGGGAAGCTCGCTACACATCATCTGCGTCCTGCGAGAGGCGCTCGACGAGAAGAAAGAGAGAGAGAGAGAGAGAGGTAGAGGTTCAGTAAATGAAAAGACGCACAACTTCTGCAGCACGGCTCAGCGCCATCGACGAGAAGTGCATGCACGGACCGGTGGTGTAAATAGCGCATCACCTGAGCGCTAAGAGCTCTCTCTCACTCTCTCTGCCCTTCGCTGGCTCTCTCGTGTCACATGTAAAGGCGCGTCTATACGCCTAGTTTGCTAACTATTGTAAATGTGTGATTAATACGTGGGATATTTGTGAGTAAGAAGCCTCGCGAGAGTTCTCATTGGCCGGAGCATGGGTGATACCAGGATTCTTTTCTTAGAGATGCGTGGATCCTTTAGAGGCAAAACTCCTGACGCTGTGGCTCAGTCCCTCCTTCGTAGCCTCCCTTTAGTTCTCGCAATGTTCACTAGATGGCGCTACGCTGTTGCAGTATGAGAAGTGATCAGAAAATGGCGGGGACGTATGTTGCGTCAGTTGTGGTTTAGTTTGATAGGATGACAGACAGACAGACAGACAGACAGACAGACAGACAGACAGACAGACAGACAGACAGACAGACAGACAGACAGACGAACGGACGGACGGACAGACAGACAGACAGACAGACGAACGGACGGACGGATGGACAGACAGACGGACAGACGGACAGACAGACGGACGGACAGACATACGGACAGACGAACGGACGGACGGATGGACAGACAGACAGACAGACAGACAGACAGACAGACAGACAGACAGACAGACAGACAGACAGACAGACAGACGGCTAAGCTGGGAGCCTGCGAAGCTTCGCCCCACTCATCATCTCTCACTCCGTGGATACTCTGTGAACTTTTTTTCAGGTTTTGTGGATTTTTAATACGAATGGCAACGTGTTTGTAGTCATTACTGTCATTGTCGTTACGATTGCCGAAGCCATCGTTACCACACTCGCGCTGTAAGCGCTCTGTAGTTGACCCTGTCCCATATTGACTTAGAGAGTGTGGGATGGAGGAGAGAGAGTTCAAACGTTCTCCCTGTCCGGTACACAGAAAAGGGAGAAAGAGGTGACTCGAACAGACATTAGGAGGCCCAAAATCCCTTAACGGGGCGTAGACACCGCACTTCGCCGCTTCAAAGGAGATTTTCTTCTTTCGTGTGCACCTAGAAGGAACAAATTGGGTAGCCGAACTGCCGTAAGCACGGAATCCAAGCCTGCAGGTATATATACCTTCGAGTTCAAGCATGCAAGTCCGTGCCCACTTGCGAAATTAAGTTTTCTCTTTTCTCCTTCGTGGTCTTATATCCGAAGATGAAAAACTTTTGCTGTCGGTGGTACACGCGATCGAATGCAAGCCTGCAAACATGCAAGCAACATGCGTGATACATATAGCGTGAGATAGCAAAAGATTTGTTTATTCGGATGGACGCTGCGGCTTATAAGCCGGCGCAAAACGCGCGAAACAGAAGCCGCGTGGTTTCATTTTTTTTTTTAAACTCTTTTCTTCGTCCTCGGGCTTATACGAGTCAGCGAGGCAGGCGAAGCCGGATCCGAAGCCAATAACTTTTTCCCTCCTTTTGCTATAGTGTATTTTTTTTTCTGCTTCTAGTTCACTATACTTTTGCGACCGCCTCCTCTCGCAGCTCGCAAGCACGGGCACTGCATTCGCATGCAGTCGATTTCAAGCACTCCGTCTTCGACGGTGCCAAACAAATTCGATGGCTAGCTTTACCAGTGAACGTATATATTAGCAGCGAGGAGTTGTTACGTACGTCTATACTAATAATCAAATCATACATGAAGTTCCGTCTATAGACCTATTCCATTTTTCAAACAGCGGTAGTGCCGTCGACATACTAAGGAGCTTGTAGCAACGTCATGGCGAGCGGGCTCCGCCCTGCCCACAGCTCGCCACTATACCCTCAGACGAGGCTGCTTTGCAGGTGCTGTGCCAGTTGTCACGTGATCATAAAGGGTGATGGTGACCTTTGGGAGGGACGGGGCCTGCTCACCGTGACGTCACTACAAGTTCCCTAGTGTGTCGACGGCGCTACCACAGTTTTCAAAAATGGAATGGACCTATAACCAGAAAGCGGTCACTTTTTAAGCGAATCCTTCATAATTGATTGATATGTGGGGTTTATCGAAAACCACCATATATGAATATGAAAGACACCGTAGTGGAGGGCTCCAGAAATTTCGACCACCTGTGGTTCTTTATGGTGCATTCAGACGACGGACCGAATCCGGATTTGTCGTG